CAGCTGCGGGCGCTGCCAGCGGTGGAGGACAGATGAAGGATGACTGCACTGCTGTGGGGATGCAGAGAGAGAGAGAGAGAGAGAGAGAGAGAGAGAGAGAGAGATCAGCTAAGAAGATCGAGAGAGATAGCAGATATAGAGAGATAGAGATGATAGCGAAGATAGAGTAGATGCATCTCTATCTCTCTCTCTCTCTCGCTATCTCTATCTCCTCTCTCTCTACTCTCTCTACTCTCTCCTCTCTCTCTCTCTCCTCTCTCTCTCATCTCTCTCTCTCTCTCTCTCTCTCTCTCTCTCTCCTCTCTCTCTCTCTCTCTCTCTCTCTCTCTCTCTCTCTCTCTATCTCTTCTCTCTCAGAGAGAGAGAATATTTGTATGGGCTTGTTAGCTTCTGTTCTGCATGTGTAAAGATGGCACACTGATTCCTCTCAGGCAGACTCTGCTCAGGCATCCTAAGATGTCTGTCACACAGCATTAATTAAAAGACAGCAACACGACTCATCTGCTCAATACAAATTACATATATTTATTTAGGTGACAGATATCCCCTCCAACAACTTCTCTGTTGCTCTTTTATTTGTCTCTCAGCCGTTAGTTTTTAATGTTATGGCAACAATCTTGAGAAGTAACACAACACATGAACACAGTGTGTTGCTGTGGGGCTCCTCTGTGTCATGGTTCAAGTTAAGAAACTATTATGTGTATAAACAAGGACAGGGATCTTTGAAAACTCCTTCATCCTAAAGACTAAGCAGAAAATACATAAATAAATACGTCAATGCATTCAGTTGTATGAGCATCAACACAATTTCAGAACTACAATAGTGGCTAACACCTATAGACAGTCATAGTCCTTTCATTGTGAGACATTTGACCTTAAAGTGTCAAAAGTCCTGTAATTAATCGTGACGCGGCAGTGCAGCGTAGTTGAACAATGCACCAGGCCTGGAGGGGAACATGCTTTCTGCTTCCATCATGGATTTTGAAGGGTCTAAAGTTTTTGGTGATGAGCTTATTCTACGAGGGACCAAACGTTGGGATACCTCTGCTGCTTAAATATGGATCATCCGAGCATGGAGGCATTGTGTTGACCTGATTATACTTTTCTAATCGAAAGGTATGATGACTGTGACCAAACAGGCTTTTTTTAGCCGGTACTCAAGAATCAATATGCTATTCATGCTAATTTCATAACATGTTTTAAAAGGGTACGATAATGTATTGGAGATATTTTGGACAGACATCTACAGTATGTGAACTGCAGCTAAGTTGACGGAGGAATTCTACTGCTGTGAGGTGGTAATTCTAGTTTTAGTTTGACATTTGTAAGTCTGCCAACATTATGAGAGTGCAATACTAGTTTGTTGGAGTAAACCTTTCCCAAAAAAAAAAGAAAAGGGAATCCTCTTTCCATGACATTTTTACTTAAATACGTATGTATATTTTTAGTTTGGTACATCATGTGATTAGAAAGATTCCTGACAGACTGTTCTCTATGTCTCCCCCATTTTGTAATAAATCTTGCTACAGTGTGACTTTTACACACAGATCACTTGTGTATTTTGTAGAGCCATCGTAGAAAAGTATTTACACCATGACCCAAAAGCAAGCATTTCCAGGATTTCACTCGTTTAATGTGGCTGCTACCACTTCATATAATTGCCACTTGGTGCAAATAAATATACTCTCTAAAGTTGAACTGTATCTGGATTGTTGCTCAATTTAGGTCGTTTTCTTCCACTGGCAGGCCACAGACATTTCCCATGTTTAAACTCTTGTTGGCTGATCAGGGATCAGGCCTGGCAGAGGAAACGTCCATCAGTGCCTGTAGCTGTGATGAGGTGTGTGTGTCTATTACTGTCCCTCTAACTTCACACCGGGAGGAAATATAACTTTCGTCACATATTTTAGGGCAGTGTGCTGAAAGAACACTTCCTCTTAGTGGTGATTTTCAATGGAATACATGTATTAAGAATTAAAAAGGGGCTGTTACTGTAAGGTTAATAATGCAGCGTTTCTGAGTTGAGAGAAATTAGGCTTTGGAAACATGTGCGTACATTTGACCGGTCTTATGTACACTGCGGGAGGGAAAGACGCACGCAAAGCTACTATTTTACCAATGCAAACATGGCAGATACAGCCACTATTCACTGGCATCTCATGTTTACCTAAAAATCGTTCTCAAAGATATTTCAGCATCAGTTAGTGAGATGAAACACTGGAAACCAACTCATGGGAAAGAGTGGGCCAAACAGAGAAAATC